AAAAGGATCCAATTTGACCTACGCCGTCTCGTCAGATTTAATACTGCAAGAGTTACGTTGAATATGTCAGGGGAGGACCTCGTTAGGCTCCGGTGAGGCGGTCAATGTGTTTAGATTGCCAGTTAGCCAACAGGTAAAGTAGACAAAATTATGCAAGAACTCATTAGGACCTAATCAGGAGTGCAATGAGAAACGGGTCGGGTCGTCCTGACAGCGGCAGGTTCTTAGTCGGCGAGTGTTTCCACATGCCACATGTGGTGCCACGGGGCGTGTTATGGTCGGATGCTCGCTGCGCCATATCAGAAGTAATGTTGAATTGAACTTTGATGATTTTTTCGTTTTTCAAAAATTTATTTAAACTGTTCGCGCAGAGGAATAAAGGGGGGACTTAATTCTGGTGCAGGCGATCCCATTCTATGCTTCTGAACATGGGGGCTGATGGGGGCTGATGGGGGCTGATCTTTTGTACCTGAAAATATATAACCTGAATAGGATTGTCAAGTAACCTTTATATATATATATATATATATATATATATATATATATATATGTATATATATATATATATGAGCATGGGGGCTGATGGGGGATGATGGGGGCTGATATTTTGTACCTGAAAATATATAACCTGAATAGGATTGTCAAGTAACCTTTATATATATATATATATATATATATATATATATATATATATGTATGTATATATATATATATTAATCCTGTAAATTAAACAAGTTTCAGCTCGATAGGTTGACGAGAAGTGGGTCTATTATTATTAGCCGTCCAAAGATTTTGCCAGCAGGCTAGCCACGAACAAAAGTGAGGTTATTATAAAGGATTTAAACATCATTTGATTTTCGTAGTTACTTTCAAGTAAAGCGTTAGTGCTTCTACAATAAACTCTTTAATCTCCAGGTGGGGGTAACTCTTTAATCTCATGTTACCGGAAATGGTCAGTTGCACTTCAAGTTGAAACACCAGAGTGCATTAAAAGTTAATCCAAAGTTTTGGAGATTTAAAAATAAATCACACGAAAGCCTGTGAAGAAAAGTTTTCAGTAAAAGATGTATATAAATGAATGCCAGTGAGTACATCCTATCAGTGGTAACGCACCAGTTGAATGGACAGCTAAGTATACAGAATGAGTACCTGGGGCTAACAGTTCATGTGCGTGTGTGTCATTCAATTCACCCATGAATTTTGAGTGCAATTCACCCAGCTGATGTTATGATCTTACGACATGATTCCACCCATTGATGTAATGACAGTTGACACAATTCAACCCATTGATGTAATGACAGTTGACACAATTCAACCCACTGATTTAATGACAGTTGACATAATTCAACCCATTGATGTATTGACCTTGCAACACAATTCAACCTACGATGTAATGACTGTACGACACAATTCAACCCATTTATGTAATGACAGTTGACACAATTCAACCCATTGATGTATGTTATGACCTTTCGACACAATTCAACCCATTGTGTAATGACCTTATGACACAATTCAACCCATTGATGTAATGACCCCCACGACATAATTCATTCTTTTGAATTGCTTGACATGTAATGCCCAATCGACCTACTTCCGCACTGTACGACGTCAGAGAAAAGCACCGGAGCCCACCCGTATCACGTTTCCTGTTTCCCATTAAGGCCGGAGTAGACCGTCGCCCAGGTCGCCCCACAAATTGGCCCCTTTGTAACAAGTTGGTGGGAGCATGGTGAGTGTTTACTTAAGGAGAGTAGACCGGAGGAACGGGGGGGCTAAGCTAAATAAACCGTGACGTCACATCGATCCTGTCTGGAAGCTGAACCCGTGGCACGGCAGGATCTTGAGGACTTTTGGAATCATGGACGGCAGGATGAAGTGGACTTTTGGAATCTTGCACGGCAGGATTAAGTGGACTTTTGGAATTTTGCACGGCAAGATGATGTGGTCTTTTGGAATCATGGATGGCAGGATGAAGTGGACTTTTGTAATCATGGACGGCAAGATCTAGTGGGTTTTGGAATCAATGATGGCAAGACCTTGTGGGGTTTAGGAATCAATGACGGCAAGAGCTTGTGGGGTTTTGGAATCAATGACGGCAAGACCTTGTGGGGTTTTGGAATCAATGATGGCAAGAGCTTGTGGGGTTTTGGAATCAATGATGGCAAGACCTTGTGGGGTTTTGGAATCAATGACGGCAAGAGCTTGTGGGGTTTTGGAATCAATGACGGCAAGAGCTTGTGGGGTTTTTGAATCAAGAACGGAGGGTCTTGTGGATGTTTTGAATCATTTACGAAAAAGATGAGGGCCCGTGAAATCCTTGCAGACAATGAGGTCAAAAATGGCGTGCTCATTAAATGGTGGAAATAAATCGGGTTAGAGCAGTGGTTCTCAACCTTCCTAATGCCGCGACCCTTTAATACAGTTTCTCATGTCGTGGCACCCCCCTCCCCCCTCCCCCCGGCTACTTCATAGCTGTATAATACGTATTTTCAGGTGGTCTTAGGCGACCCCTGGTGATGGGTCCTGCGACCTTCAAAGGGGTCTCGACCCACAGGTTGAGCACCGCTGATCTAGAGTATCCCGCATTAGTTGACAACGTTCACACAGCTGCAACTATCCGAGAGCTTGGTTGCAAATCGTGACGGCAGCGTCACAATGAAAGTAAACATTTTGTTTCTTTTTTCATCATGCCTCAGGAGATTCCTCAATGTTCAGCGTCATTTCGTCGTTATCGTCGAGTTATCTCCATTAGTCTTTGACCTGTCCAATGGTTTCCAACGGTGGTGACCACAACTCAGCACCAACGGAAGTTTGCGGAAGGGCAAGACAACACCAATTGTTGAAAGCAAATGACCGTCCGCGTCTATTTTAAACCTCAATCACGTGACAAGAGTCTCATCATGCACCTGGAGGTGCCAGGGGAAAGAATTCTAGCTTACTTGGTCAACTGAGCTGGGTAAGTAAGCTAAGTGAAAGAACTCGTGCATGCTGGGTCTGTTAAGTGAAAGATAGATTAAAAGTAATTATTATTATTATAAATTATTATTTTCTTTCTATTTTTTTTTTAGATTAGTAGAGTTTGTATATTGGGGAGGGGGGGAGTAGAAGACCCGAGTTGCAGAAGACCCGAGTTGTAAATACAATTTTATAGTAACGATTTTTTTTTACGCCAGTCCGACAGTCGATGACAAACCGAGTGCTCTTGTGAGGTATTCAGGTGTAAGTGGTACATGAGGGCATTGAATATTGCAATGAAACTAATTCAATAGCAGAAACGAAAGATCAGTTTTTTTTAATATATTGCATTTCTTGCGACGCCATTGAACGTTGACTAATCGATATTTGCATTGAACTGCTCCAATCAAAATATCTTTTTAAGTGTGTGTCTTTGTGGGGTGGGTGGGGGATATGTTTAGAGTCCGAATGAAATTCTGTTTTCTAATAAGAGATAATGTAGTCATCTAGTGTAAACATATTCTTAATACTGTCAATAGACATTTGGAATTTAACAGAACATGAAATGCGTCTACGACTGTCGTTAATTTGAATGTGACATTTGTCAGTTAAGCCACCGAGAGAAAGATTTATGAAACTTAACACTTCAATTGCTTTTGGTCACATACTGTCACTATCAAAAACTGTTATATACTGTCACATAATGTCACAAATATTCAGTTACTGACTACCAATATCTATCATTACTGTAACATTGTATAATATATAGCGTTGTGTTGTGGTTGTAGTTTACTGTTTTAACCCTTGACCCCCGTGAGACACCCTACCTTGTGACACCTTGACCTTGTGGCACCCTACCTTGTAGCACCCTCCTTTGTGACATCCGACCTTGTGGCACACTAACTTGTAGCACACTGCTTTGTGATACCCTGACCTTGTGGCACCCTACCTTGTAGCACCTTGCTTTGTGATACCCTGACCTTGTGGCACACTACCTTGTAGCACCCTGCTTTGTGATACCCTGACCTTGTGGCACCCTGCCTTGTGGCACCCTGCCTTGTGAAAATCTGATCTTGTGACACCCTACCTTGACGCACCCTACCTTGTGGCACCCTGCTTTGTGAAAACCTGATGCTGTGGCACCCTGCCTAGCGGCACCCTGACTAGTGGCGACCGTGGCCACATGGCCACTAACACTCTTGCCTCTATTATATCCATTGGCCTGTATTTGAATTTAAAAAAAAAAAAAACACACATTGAGTCATAAGTGTCGTTAGTATACCACTCAGAGTGTCCCGGCTGCCTGAACAAATCAACACGGCATTTCCCCATTACCTGCACCCACACCTATCACATAAATCTATACGTGAAATTTGTCCCAAAGTAACCAGTCCATTATCCTCGCCTGCACATCGCACACTGCGCCTTTCACTGCACTATAACCATTCTCTGCCCGTATTTTGTTAGGACACCAATAAGGTGACCCTAAGGTCTTTGACACACAGATCCGCTTCCTTTCAGGTGGAGCTTAAAGATCTATTTGTTGCTGAATTTAAATTACCCATAACTCAATTCAACGACGTTATCGATCAGGATTTACGTCCCCCTCCCTAAAAGCTCGGAGGATAATAGACGTTTCTTTTAGCGGTTAATTTTTTCAACCAAAAAAAAAAATGTGTTAGCCACGACACTGTACCTCTTAACGTCTGGTCTGTCTCCTCGTGTTGGGACAGCAACAAAAAAAAAAAAAAAAAAAAAAAAAAAAAAAATTAATTTTTTCAAACAAAAAAAAAAATGTTTTAGCCCCGACACTGTACCCCTTAACGTCTGGTCTGTCCCCTCGGGTTGGGAAAGAAAAAAAAAAAAAAAAAAAAAAAAAAAAGAAAAAAAATAATTTCTCGACGGTTGCAATTTGGGAAACGGGCAAGTAACTCTGCTCGGCTCTTAATGTCGTCTTCTTCGAGGTGTCACATGACGTCACCACGTGTAGCTCTTCGTATTCATAGAGTAAGTGATCTTCAGCAACAGAGGGCGGTAATTGAGTTTCTTGCATTAAATAGTAATTGAGTTTCTTACATTGGAGATTAAGCTGATAGAACTTCAGGTGAGATCTCGCTGGCGTTTCTAAATGGATATTGCCACAGGAGTGTTATTCTCGGAGTGTGACGTCAGATGGGTTCTGATCTATACGAAATATCTCCAGGACTCGGACACCCGATGACGTTGTGCTGTCCGTCACTCACACGCAGCGTGATGTCAAGAGCCACAGGAGTTTGTAGTTTGTCTGAGTTTATTTGAAGAAAACCACGAGGACTTGAGGTCAGCATAGATAAAACAAATAGCCATAGACTCGACGCTCGTAGGAGGGTAACTTCATTGTATCAAATGTAATCCGAGTCTAAAACATAACAAAGTGCATACCAGAAGTTTCAAACAGATAGTTACAATACAACTTACAGATTAGAGTAAAAAAATATATTGCACTAACTACTTGATACGTGAATGATGGTTGTACCCGTTACGCCATTGATATATCAAATTGCGTGTATTCATTGAGGCTAAGTAATAATCCTACGGTAACTTAGTTTATATATATATTGCTTTAAACGTCGTAGATCTCTAATGAGAGATAACCATAAGAGCTGTATATCAACATGAGCAAATTTAATTGAACTGGATCTGATTATATTAATTATTATTTTAAATGTCTATTGAATACCTTACAACAATCACGTATAGTAAGACATGAAATCATGAAGCAGACGATGTTATTACGAAACGTTTTATTTTGTTGAAATTGAATTAATTCAGACTTCCATTTTCCACACAACCCCATCGCCATTAAAAAAAATTTTTAGCAGCTTTTGTATGAAGCATGTGTGCACGTTGATGGGAATAAATTTTGTGTGTGAAAAGGAGAAAGTAGATCTATTTATATTGTTAAGAAAAAGGGGCATCTCAAAAAGAAAAAAAAAACAAAAACAAAAAAAACAACAAACAACATGCTGCTAGAATTGTCTTTAATAATAAATAGTCTCTTTCGGTCATCTGAGACAAACCACCTACTTCGGTCATCTTAGACAAAGCCGTTTACTTCGGTCATCTTAGACAAAGCCGTCCACTTCAGTCATTTTAGACAAAACCGTCTCTTTCGGTCATCTGAGACAAACCACCTACTTCGGTCATCTTAGACAAAGCCGTCCACTTCAGTCATTTTAGACAAAACCGTCTCTTTCGGTCATTTCAGACGGGTCACTACTAGTAATTGAGGAAGAACTGCAGCAGTCGCTTGTCACTGGATCATCATTTCAACTGTCATCTTACCGACAAACATGCAGCACAACCCTCTCAACCCCGTGCCGCACCAGCTCGGGACTTTTCCTCGCGGCATCCTTAAGACCGCCAACACCAACAAGGAGGCCAGAGTTGGCTCAACTGACCAGGTGACCACAGCGGTGGACCATGACGCAAAGGCGGCTCACACCTTAAGACCAGAGTCAGGTCGCCGTGATACCTCAGAGAACCAGCGTCGGATGCTCAAAGTGATGAGGTGGTCCGAATCCGACATCTCCCGCGGGCCGATGGGGACCCCTCAGAGGACTAGGAAGCTACCGGCCGTGGGCCCGCCCCCGGGACTAGGTCGCGTGAGGTCAGAGTTCAACCCGTACGACTTCTACACGAGGGTCAACGCAAACCACGGGATGATCAGTGAGGCGAAGGACAAAAGGTTGATGCCCAAGACCTCCGACCCCGGGTTCAAGGGTCATGAGCTAAAGCTGAGGAGCGCTTTTTTCTCCAACGCAAAAACAGAGGAAAGACTTAAGGTAAGACATTTTACCAACATATCTAGCACTCCATGTTATACCCTAGAACCGTAAGGACGCGGTTTTTCCCGTCCACAAATCTGTTCAATTCTGCAAGAGCCTAAAACCGATTCTCGCGATGAGACAGCTGATTTCAAAAAAGCACAATACGAAGATTCCCCTTCACTGCACCAGACAGTTTTCACATTTGTGTTCAAGATAATGTTCCTAAATCAAAAGGAGTTTTTTGTTTTTTTTTGTAAACCAATGAATGTATTGTTGTAAATAAGAAATACATTTTAATATAATAATTAACGCAATATGTCAAGTACTCCATCTGAATGTCAGAGTTATGTCATGGTTTAAAAGGTGTGATCGACATTCTTTCAATGTTACAATTTTTCCAATGACACATGTCAGCTCGTGAACAACGATGTCTTCAGATTTTCAATGAAAATTAGAAAATATTTGTTTTCCAATTAGCGCAAAATACATGAAAATTGATGGGAAATTGAGGGTAAAGTTTTAAGAGAGTAATAGTATTTTTATTTTTATTTTTTTAATTTTATTTTTTAAAATTTTAAATGAAAAAAAAATACAATGCTGTTACACACAAGAAAATCGTTCAAGGTATTTTTTCAATAATCTAAACATGCCATGTCAACAAAAATGATGAATAATATAGTTTAGGAGCGGGGAAAAAGGCTGGGTGAGTTTTTAATGAAGATACCACAATGTCAACATCCGTGAATGTTACACATACCTAAAATGTTACGCCATTTTTTCTTTACTTTAATTCATTGGCATATTTTTACATTTGTTAGTAAATATGTCTTCTTTGTAGCCCGCATGGGGCATGTAAAAGGGCTAAATATGGTTCTATTTATAGAAGATAATCATTTGTCAATATTCCATAATGTATAGACATAGATACTTCTTACAACAAGAGGAAAGTCTTATGTACTATTTGCTAAATATACATTTCAATTTCTTTGAATAATCTCCGTAACTTTTTTTAGTTTTGAGGATACCATACATTAAAATCGATTCAGTTAAGCACGTAAAAATGGATTTTTAAATGTCGAAACTTCGCAATAGCATGCAGTAAGTATGCCTTCCATAAAATCCCAGTAACACCGGGTTATATCTTCTAGTAGTTCAAAATTATGTGTGTTTTATATTAAATTTTAATGAGCTATTAAATTTAAACTATTTTTTAGTTCGAAAGTGTGACGTACTTGAGTGGAGGGCGTTGTTCCGACAATCATGACATGTTGTGACAGGTGTCTGTGAGTGTTCAAACACTGTCTAAAAATGCTTGACAAACGTTATGGACGGTCCTTTAATTTAATTTTCAATTATTATTTTCCGGAAATTTTGGCCTTTTAAGCAAATGGAGCTCTGCCTTTACATGGACTGTTTTGGATTAACAGGCCCAAAAAATAATGATTGGTGTTCTTTATTAACGTCAATGTACGACAGTCATTGTTGTTGTACTATTGCTGTCGAACATGGTTATATTGACTGCCAACATGGTTATATTGACTGCGCACATGGTTATATTGACTGCCAACATGGTTATATTGTCTGCAAACATGGTTATATTGACTGCCAACATGGTTATATTGAATGCGAACATGGTTATATTGACTGCAAACATGGTTATATTGACTGCAAACATGGTTATATTGACTGCAAACATGGTTATATTGACTGCCAACATGGTTATATTGACTGCCAACATGGTTATATTGACTGCCAACATGGTTATATTGACTGCCAACATGGTTATATTGACTGCGAACATGGTTATATTGCCTGCGAACATGGTTATATTGAATGCGAACATGGTTATATTGCCTGCGAACATGGTTATATTGACTCCAACATGGTTATATTGACTGTGGACATGGTTATATTGACTGCCAACATGGTTATATTGACTGCGCACATGGTTATATTGACTCCAACATGGTTATATTGACTGTGGACATGGTTATATTGACTGCGAACATGGTTATATTGCCTGCGAACAGGGTTATATTGACTGCGAACATGGTTATATTGACTCCAACATGGTTATATTGACTGTGGACATGGTTATATTGAATGCGAACATGGTTATATTGCCTGCGAACATGGTTATATTGACTGCCAACATGGTTATATTGACTCCAACATGGTTATATTGCCTGCGAACATGGTTATATTGACTGCGAACATGGTTATATTGCCTGCGAACATGGTTATATTGACTGCCAACATGGTTATATTGACTGCCAACATGGTTATATTGACTGCCAACATGGTTATATTGACTGCGAACATGGTTATATTGCCTGCGAACATGGTTATATTGACTGCGAACATGGTTATATTGACTGCCAACATGGTTATATTGACTGCGAACATGGTTATATTGACTGCCAACATGGTTATATTGAATGCGAACATGGTAACATTGACTGGCAACATGGAAATATTGACAGCGAACATGGTTATATTGACTGCCAACATGGTTATATTGACTGCGAACATGGTTATATTGAATGAGAACAAGGTTATATTGACTGAGAATATGGTTTTATTGACTGCGAACCTGGTTATATTGACTGCCAACATGGAAATATTGACAGCGAACATGGTTATATTGACTGCCAACATGGTTATATTGACTGCCCACATAGTTATATTGACTGCGAACATGGTTATATTGACTGCGAACATGGTTATATTGACTACGAATATGGTTATATTGACTGCCAACATAGTTATATTGACTGCAAACATGGTTATATTGACTCCAACATGGTTATATTGACTGTGGACATGGTTATATTGACTTCAAACATATTTATATTGACAGCGAACATGGTAATATTGATGCAGGCATGGTTATATTGGCTGCCAACAAGGTTATATAGGCTGCCAACATGGTTATATTGACTGCGAAGAGTTTGAAGCGAAGTTCCTTTTTGTAGCTGCTCAATTTATTTGTTGTTTGTTGTTTGTTGTTTTGTTGTTGTTATATAATGGCGGACAAGACCGGATGTTTGTATAGTTGCTGCCACGGCGACCAATCAAAAGTTGACCATTGCTGTAGAAATGTGTTACCGAATGAAAGCGTTGCTGTGTTTAAAACTCTCCATACCTGTGTTTACTACACGACTGACCCATGTGACCGTCTGACCACAGGAGTGGACACATGAGGCATACAAGAACAAGATGATGCAGATGTTTCAGCGGGATCCAGACGGTCTCGGTCGTCTGCTGCAGTCTTCAATGTCAAGGGCGACAAGTCGCAAGACGTCTGCTGTAGATCAGTTTCCGGAAATAATCATTTCCAGGTCAGATATTATATAATTTGAAATTCATTTTTGTGTGTGTGCGATAATTAGATTATTTTAATCTCTTAAAATCAGCTGCTAGATTCATGCCATAGACTCATGCCATAGACTCAGGCCATAGACTCAGGCCATAGACTCGTGCCATAGACTCATGTCATAGACCCATGCCATAGACTCGTGCCATAGACTCGTGCCATAGACTCGTGCCATAGACTCGTGCCATAGACATAGACTCGTGCCATAGACTCGTACCATAGACTCGTACCATAGACTCGTACCATAGACTCGTACCATAGACTCGTGCCATAGACTCATGCCATCGACTCATGCCATCGACTCGTACCATAGACTCGTACCATAGACTCGTACCATAGACTCATGCCATCGACTCGTACCATAGACTCGTACCATAGACTCGTACCATAGACTCGTACCATAGACTCGCGCCAAAGACTCGTGCCACTCACTTACAAATCTACTTTGCTAAATAACTTTAAAAAAACTTCTCTGAACACTTCGAGTGCCTCCAAGTAATAAACTCGGACTTCTGCTCTCTTTTGTAAGGCGAAGTTCCCAGACCAACAGGCCAGTCAGACGAGGTTCAGTGTTCTGGGTACCTCCAAGCTACGACCATCTCACGGAAGTGGAGGTAAGTAAGAGGAGGTTCTGACAGGGTCCCCTTTCCTTCGGAGATAGAAATTCGTTTATTAGTAAAGTCAAAGTGCCAAATATAAAGTTCCTATGTCTGACGTTTGTATAGTATGATTATATGTACCGTTATCATTTATATAGGAATTATTGTTATAATTTATTTATTTATATAATTTATTTATTGCTTGTGCTCCTTTCAATAGTATTCATAGTCTGTAAATTTTACAGTTGTATGTGTGTTGTATTACATGAGCATGATTATTTCAACAAGGAATCTCCCATGTCTCCCATGACATTATGTCATTTCTACACCTTACTATTCCCCCCCCCCATCCCCAAAAAAAGGGGGGGGGGCGCGAATTTAAATCATTTAAGAATCTTATTATATGGTCACTTTATTTTAAACATTTCAACTGCTACATTTTGTGACATTTATTTGAAGGATACATCAGACTCCATTCTGAGTGGGTCACCGTTCCCTTCTGAGTGGGGCACCGTTCCCTTCTCAGTGGATCACCGTTCCCTTCTCAGTGGGTCACCGTTCGCTTCTCAGTGGGTCACCGTTCTCTTCTCAGTGGGTCACCGTTCCCTTCTCAGTGGGTCACTGTTCCCTTCTCGGTGGGTCACCGTTTACTTCTCAGTGGGTCTACGCTCCCTTCTCAGTGGGTCACCGTTCCCTTCTCAGTGGGTCACAATTCCCTTCTCAGTGGGTCACCATTCCCTTCTCAGTGGGTCACCACTGAGTGCGGTACTAGCTGGAATTCCTCAGTAATGTTTACACAAGAGTGGACGCGTGGCAGGCACATCATAAAAGTTGATTGTGATCTGGGCAAATCTGATTTGAAATGAATGATTGCATTACGCCATTGTTTGGCCGTGTCACTGATCTAATATCACCCTATTGCGCTCAATGCTATTTTGGTCTTCCTGGAAGAAAGATCTCCATCCAGGTCATGGTCTTCTAGGTCGCATGAATTTTGTTTCTGTTTTTCTAAAAAGTAGATTACAAACTACAACAATTTCTATTTTTTAATAATGTTTTGTTTAAATATAAAAAATAAAAAAAAAAAACAAATATACCGGTATTTCAATACTTGAACTCGGTTTTCTCAAGCTTCCTAATTTTAAAAATAAACTTATTTGAATATAAAAAATTTAAAAATAAAATATTCTTCGTATGCTAAGCACTACCCTGGTCACGGTTGAAAAATTTCATCAATTTAAAAACAAATGGTATTTATAGTCTCCTTCTCCTGCATATAGGCTGATTTGAACATTTTAAAAAAAAATGTAAATTGGACTATTGCATATGTAAAGGTCGCTCACTTAATTTAGGGTTGTCAAAGTGATTGTTTAAGGTTGAACAACCATTATTTTGGGTCTTTAAAAAATAAATTTTTAAACGTGAATATAACTAATATTTTTTAAACAGACATCTCAAAAAGTTTACATTACAACGTGTTCTTAAATAAACATTTTTTTTTTCAAACTAAAAATATTTCCAACTTTTCGTACAAATGACGATTGCACACTGAAAAACAGAGGGCGAAATTGATGTTGAGTAAATAGATCCCACCCCATATTTTTATATAAATTTTTATTTAAAAAAAAAATGTGTGATATTTATGCGAGTATATACGGTGTATACTTTTGCCCGACAAACCAGAGAAAGCAGAAACGTGACTTGAGGAAGTTCCGCTGGTACGGCCTGGTGATTAGGTGCATGTGCGGTCTGCTGATGGACATGAAGAAGCTGAGCATCAGCAAGACGCAGCAGTCGGCGCACTCAGAGTTTCTCTACATCATAGCAGGGCCAAAAACTCATGCCGGTCAGGAGGGCCAAGGGACGGAATCCCAGCATTTGTTATTTGACAAGTCTTGGTTCAACCGAAACAGGGCGGTATGTAAACATCAATATCCGAAAATTTGTTTGAAAAGACATTTCGTAAACGGAAAATTGATTGACGGAAGTTTAATCGAACGGACTATTGATCGAATTTTATTTTTCAGTTCACACGTTCAAACTGTGCGTAAAATTTCTTGTTTGAACGCACTATTTTGTTTTACTATAATATAGTGCGTGGAAAAGAATTTTGACGTAAAAAAATTTGATCGTGTGAACTAAAAAAAAAAAAAAATTCTATCGAAATTTCCGTTCGATCAAACTTCCGTCGATCAATTTTCCGTCGACGAAATTTCTTTCAAACAAATTTTCGGTAACCGTAAAAATCACAACAACGATAAAAAATATAAAATTTAAAAAAAAACAACAACATATATTAAAGACAGTTTATAGTATAGTACTGGGCTTAAAACGCATTGCAATTATTACTACATGTGCTACTATTGTTTAACTTGCTACAATTTGTTTACTATGCTACTATTGTTTAACATCCACTACTGTTCATCATGCTACTATTGTTTAACATCCACTACTGTTCATCATGCTACTATTGTTTAACATTCTAATACTGTTTACATCCTACTATTGTTTAACTTGCTACAATTTGTTTACTATGCTACTATTGTTCAACATCCACTACTGTTCATCATGCTACTATTGTCTAACATTCTACTACTGTTTACATCCTACTATTGTTTAACTTGCTACAATTTGTTTACTATGCTACTATTGTTTAACATCCACTGCTGTTCATCATGCTACTATTGTCTAACATTCTAATACTGTTTACATCCTACTATCGTTTAACTTGCTACAATTTGTTTACTATGCTACTATTGTTCAACATCCACTACTGTTCATCATGCTACTATTGTCAAACATTCTACTACTGTTTACATCCTACTATTGTTTAACTTGCTACAATTTGTTTACTATGCTACTATTGTTTAACATCCACTGCTGTTCATCATGCTACTATTGTTTAACATTCTAATACTGTTTACATCCTACTATTGTTTAACTTGCTACAATTTGTTTACTATGCTACTATTGTTCAACATCCACTACTGTTCATCATGCTACTATTGTCAAACATTCTACTACTGTTTACATCCTACTATTGTTTAACTTGCTACAATTTGTTTACTATGCTACTATTGTTTAACATCCACTGCTGTTCATCATGCTACTATTGTCTAACATTCTAATACTGTTTACATCCTACTATTGTTTAACTTGCTACAATTTGTTTACTATGCTACTATTGTTTAACATCCACTGCTGTTCATCATGCTACTATTGTCTAACATTCTAATACTGTTTACATCCTACTATCGTTTAACTTGCTACAATTTGTTTACTATGCTACTATTGTTCAACATCCACTACTGTTCATCATGCTACTATTGTCAAACATTCTACTACTGTTTACATCCTACTATTGTTTAACTTGCTACAATTTGTTTACTATGCTACTATTGTTTAACATCCACTGCTGTTCATCATGCTACTATTGTCTAACATTCTAATACTGTTTACATCCTACTATCGTTTAACTTGCTACAATTTGTTTACTATGCTACTATTGTTCAACATCCACTGCTGTTCATCATGCTACTATTGTCTAACATTCTACTACTGTTTACATCCTACTATTGTTTAACTTGCTACAATTTGTTTACTATGCTACTATTGTTCAACATCCACTGCTGTTCATCATGCTACTATTGTCTAACATTCTACTACTGTTTACATCCTACTATTGTTTAACTTGCTACAATTTGTTTACTATGCTACTATTGTTTAACATCCACTGCTGTTCATCATGCTACTATTGTCTAACATTCTACTACTGTTTACATCCTACTATTGTTTAACTTGCTACAATTTGTTTACTATGCTACTATTGTTTAACATCCACTGCTGTTCATCATGCTACTATTGTCTAACATTCTACTACTGTTTACATCCTACTATTGTTTAACTTGCTACAATTTGTTTACTATGCTACTATTGTTCAACATCCACTGCTGTTCATCATGCTACTATTGTCTAACATTCTACTACTGTTTACATCCTACTATTGTTTAACTTGCTACAATTTGTTTACTATGCTACTATTGTTCAACATCCACTGCTGTTCATCATGCTACTATTGTCTAACATTCTACTACTGTTTACATCCTACTATTGTTTAACTGGCATAGACTTACTTGGTTCCTGAGAACGATGAAACTAGAAAAGAAAATGTTTACTTAATGTGATTGGTTTTGGACACCATTGATCTTTCAAAGACAGCACGAAAACAAAACTATATCAAAAGCTTATTATTAAGTTATTGTTTGATGCATTGTTACACATTTTTTTTTAAATAATTAAAAAAAAAAAATTTAAAAAGAAAATTTAACAAAAGGGAAATAAATAAGAAAAGTGTATATATTCTATATGTTTATTGGATTCTCTCCCTTTGAGCTTTAGTGCAATGTATTTGTTGCTTTATTTAAAACTAAAGAATTTAAAATTGAAGATTTTTAACGCGCCCCCCCCCCCCCAACCCTTCCCAAATCCTTTCCAAACCTTCCAGTGGTCCAGAATGCCAGAGTGGGCCCAGGGAGTCATGCAGCTACCGCCTGATGAAAGGACGCCGGATCAAATCCACCATCTCAAACAGCTGCTCATGAACATGAAGAGTTTCAGGGAAAATTTAACAGACGAGATGAGGGACAAGATGTGCCAGGTGGTCCGATACACCAAGTAAGTAGGTCAGGTGTTCAATGACAAAATGTGCCAGGTGGTCCGATACACCAAGTAAGTAGGTCAGGTGGTCGATGACAAGATGTGCCAGGTAGTCCGATACACCAAGTAAGTAGGTCAGGTGTTCAATGACAAGATGTGCCAGGTGGTCCAATACATAAATTAAGTAGGTCAGGTTGTCAATGACAAGATGTGCCAGGTGGTCCGATACACCAAGTAAGTAGGTCAGGTGTTCAATGACAAGATGTGCCAGGTGGTCCAATACACAAATTAAGTAGGTCAGGTTGTCAATGACAAGATGTGCCAGGTGGTCCGATACACCAAGTAAGTAGGTCAGGTGTTCAATGACAAGATGTGCCAGGTGGTCCGATACACATAGTAGTTGTTTAAGTGTTTAATGACATGATATGCCAGGTGGTCCGATACACCAAGCAAGTTGGTCAGGTGTTCAATGACAAGATTGCCAGGTGGTCCGATACACCAAGAAAGTAGGTCAGGTATTCAATGACAAGATGTGCCAGGTGGTCCAATACACAAATTAAGTAGGTCAGATGTTCAATGACAAGATGTGCCAGGTGGTCCGATACACGAATAAAGTAGGTCAAGTGTTCAATGACGGCACAAGCCTGTGATGGTTTGTCAAATGTGTCAGTAGTCACAAGCTGTACACATCATCAACAGAACCACGTTTAACTCTTAGAATAAACAAACTTTTAACAGGATCTGCGCAGGTCATTGATTTTAAGTCAAGATATCAACGTATTGTGAAGTTTCAATAAGGGAGTTAATTAGTCATAGCGATGTCATAAACTAAGATCAAAAGAAAGGGAGGTAATCTGTCCTCGTGATTTATCTTGTGTTTATAACATGTTGCCCATTGAGAGCAAAGAACGCTAGGGATACGCGTGAGACTGTAATGAAGGGAGGCAACAATAACTTTTAAAGTCATACCTGCAGTCTTTAAATTTACCTACCCTTTTGACTCAATCGAAAAATGTAGGTGTCTTGAAGTTTTAAAATGTAAAAAAATATGTTTATTTCGGATTTTAAGCAAGAATTATAAAACTAATAATGAAATGATAATAATTATAATTATAATTTATGCTTAATATACAATCACAAATTAGTTTGGGGAGTTGACACTTATTTCTTTGATTTGAAAAAAAAAATATTTTTTTTTTGAAATTGAAAAGTTAAAACTTAAGAAACAACCGTTAGTACAAACAAACGAAAACACAAACAAAACACAAACACGGCTCTATCGTGTTTTCAGAATCTATTTAAAATCATTTGAAAGGTCGTATACGCACTCAACTTTGTTGTACCGATGTTCTGGGATTGAGAGCATATGGTCAGTTTTTAGGTCATAGGTCAGACCGTGAAGAAAGAAATATCAGGACGCCGAGGATGAAGATACAAAAAAAAAAAAAAAAAGGAAAAAAAAAAATTTGTTGTACCGATGTTCTGGGATTGAGAGCATATGGTCAGTTTTTAGGTCAAAGGTCAGACCGTGAAGAAAGAAATATCAGGACGCCGAGGATGAAGATACAAAAAAAAAAAAAAAAAGGAATAAAATTTCGTTCTTTCAGGTGTGACAAAGGTCGTGTGGTGCTTCGTCAAGGTCACGTGGGTTTCGACTTCTACTTCATCTTCTCCGGCTCAGTGTTCATCCAGATCGACGTCTACGACGAGAAGAACGACACGACATTCACCAACGTGGAGAATGTCCTCAGGACGGGGGAGGGATTTGGTGTAAGTCAAGTGGTCATGGTCTTCTCTTCTTTCCAACCAGTCACGTGGTCATGGTCTTGTCTTCTTTCCAATCAGTCACGTGGGCATGTTCTTGTCATTATTTCCAATCAGTCACGTGGTCATGATCTTGTCTTCTTTCCCATCTTGGGTCTATTTTACATTATTTTCATCAAAGGTATTAGTAAAAATCAAATGATCATTTCCACTATGCTTGTCTTGTTAAAGTAACAAAGTCTTACATTATAACAAAGACAGACACCACTGCCCTATAACACTAGCAGACACAACTACCCTATAATTCTGGCAGACACCACTAAACTATAAAACTGGCAGACACCACTAAACTATAAAACTGGCAGACACCACTACCCTATAACACTGGCAGACACCTCTACCCTATTTCACTAGCAGACACAACTACCCTATAACATTTGCAGACACCCATACCCTATAATTCTGGCAGACACCACTAAACTATAAAACTGGCAGACACCACTACCCTATAACACTGGCAGACACCTCTACCCTATTTCACTGGAAGACACCCCTACCCTATAACACTGCCAGACACCCCTACCCTATAACACTGCCAGACACCCCTACCCTATAACACTGCCAGACACCCCTACCCTATAACACTGCCAGACACCCCTACCCTATAACACTGCCAGACACCCCTACCCTATAATACTGGCAGACACCACTACCCTATAAATACTGGCAGACACCCCTACCCTATAACTCAGGCAGACACCACTTACTTATAACATAGAGTCGCCCATCTCATCATAGAGTCACCCATCTCATCATAGTGTCACTCATCTCATCATAATGTCTCCCATATCATCATAGTGTCACCCATCTTATCATAGAGTCGCTTACCTCGTCTTAGAGTCTTAATTGAAAGGAACAATTAAACTTCTTTGGCTGCTCCAAATACATTTGAAAAATATTCTAAAATTGATTGACCTTTCATTGAAGTACCTCGCAATAATTTAACATCCCATCTTATCTTCTGTTTTGACATCCTAACATCCAGACCATCTTGTTATCTCGCCTAGTGTCAAGTATCACTTCATATTCCAATCCCTGTAATATTTTTTGAACAATAATCTATTTTTAGCCTTATCTTTTATCCAATGAAAAGATCCTAAAATAGTCGTTCATTAGTCATGAGACATGGCCGATAAAGCATCCCCCCCCCGGCCCCTTTTTATTCTCTATGTAAAATTATGTATGGGGCAGCAATAGAGCAGTTATTGAACATTTTAAAATAGATCGTTTGACTATGTTAAAGTAGATCTTGCGACTATGTTAAAGTAGATCTTGCGGCTATGTTAAAGTAGATCTTGTGAATAACTTAAACAAGATTTCGGGAATGTGCAAAGGGAACTTTTTGGGAATAGTTTAGAATTTGGGAATAGTTTAGAATTTGGGAATAGTTTAGAATTTGGGAATAGTTTCGAGTTTAGGAATACTATACAGTTTGGGTTTACAGGACGTGGTGAAGGCTCTTATGTAAATATCTGTCCCATATTTACGTCCTACCTCTGTGAGATTGCTTCACATCAATAAACGGATGCCATCTTCTGTTTACCTCACAAAAAAGGAAATAGCTCTTCTCGGGGACGGTCGACGTACGGCCTCTGTTATTTGTAAGGAACCGACTGAACTGTGTCAAATAGACAAGATGACCTTCCTTGACCTGTGTCCGGTCTTGTTCAATCAACAGCTGCAGGATAAGATTGATTTTGCCAGGTAAAGTTAGTTTAAGTTATAAATAAAGGATCCCTGTAATGGCATGGGGCTCTTTGTGTTTTGGTCGGCTTATGGGTAGTGATTGGAGGTGTCCCCTAAAATTTTTTCATGGGCGTCAATTTGAGGCAGCAATTGGGGAAATAGCATCTTTCAAAAGGGGATACACATATCTCCTCAAGTATTTTGCTAATCACCCTAAGTAAGCTACTGAAATAATGTTCATTATTTTCATCCTCACAAATAAACACGATCGACTAAATGCGCTTGTTGCGATCTTGCTAACTTGAATAACTTCAACATTCTAGGATCTTCCCCTCCTGTCACATGGACAACTCCCGTAGCAGGCACGTTAACCGAGGGAATCAGACTCACCGTTGTCTAGGGGGGGTTACAAACACAATATAAATCACAAACTCCGGTGTTACGATCTCGAAATTACCACAGCTCAATAGCTTCGTTGTCTGAGGGGTAATTCAGTTACTTGACAAACCATTGATTCAAGTCTAACCATTGATTCATGTCAAATGTCTCTTTATTAAACAAACAACTCCGAAATTCTAACACTCCATTATATATTTACTTCGCTGCGATCCAAACCCAAAGACACACTCACAACGTCATTTCACATACCCAAGTGCGTCACGAATTCTTTCAAATTTGCAGACAGTTCCCGCTGTTTGAGTTTTGGGACCAGGAGATGTTGAGGAGATTGTGTTTCTTGTCTCAAGTGCTGGATGTGCCACACTCCACTGTGGTCGAGGTCAACTGGGCCACAACAAACTACGCCTACTTCGTAATGAATGTAAGTAGTATATCTTTATTTGGCTGTTTAGAGAGCTCAGTAGATGCAATCTTAGTCTTAGGAGTTATTTTGCCTTGCTATTATTTTGAAATATCTCATACAATTTTGAAAGCAAACGGCTATAAAGAGAAACTTCGGCTAAATTGTTAGCTTTAAATCACAGGACAAATCACACAGGACAAATCACACAGGACAAATCACACAGGACAAATCACATAGGACAAATCACACAGGACAAATCACACAGGACAAATCACACAGGACAAATCACACAGGACAAATCACACAGGCCGAATCACACAGGCCGAATCACACAGGCCGAATCACACAGGCCGAATCACACAGGACAAATGACACAGGCTGAATGACACAGGACAAATCACACAGGCCGAATCACATAGGACAAATGACACAGGCTGAATGATACAGGCCGAATCACAGAGGAAAAATCCCACAGGCCGAATCTCACAGGCCGAATCATACAGGACAAATCACACAGGACAAATCACACAGGACAAATCTCACAGGACAAATCACACAGGACAAATCACACAGGACAAATCACACAGGACAAATCACACAGGACAAATCACACAGGACAAATGACACATGCCGAATCATACAGGACAAATCACACAGGACAAATCACACAGGACAAATCACACAGGACAAATCACACAGGACAAATCACACAGGACAAATCACACAGGCCGAATCACAGAGGACAAATAACACAGGCCGAATCACACAGGCCGAATCACACAGGACAAATGACACAGGCTGAATGATACAGGCCGAATCACAGAGGAAAAATCCCACAGGCCGAATCACATAGGACAAATGACACAGGCTGAATGACACAGGCCGAATCACAGAGGAAAAATCCCACAGGCCGAATCACATAGGACAAATGACACAGGCCGAATCACAGAGGAAAAATCCCACAGGCCGAATCACATAGGACAAATGACACAGGCTGAATGACACAGGCCGAATCACAGAGGAAAAATCCCACAGGCCGAATCACATAAGACAAATAACACAGGCCGAATCACACAGGACAAATGACACAGGTCGAATCACACAGGACAAATGACACAGGTCGAATCACACAGGACAAATCAAACAGGCCGAATCACATAGGACAAATCACACAGGTCGAATCACACAGGACAAATCACTTGGGCCAAAGATTTTTTTTTTCCAAAATCATCTTTTATTCTTTTAATCAATTTTAACAAAAATTATTTTAAAAGTCATTAAAAGATAATAACAGTATTTCAGCATTCAGTCTTCAAGTAAATAATAAATTATGCATAAAAAACAAATTACTGAGAATCAATAGCATGTTTGTAATTATGTTTTTCACATTGGTATAAAACTTCGACAGTCTCGCATTCGAGACAAATTGTCAAATTTTTCAGACGTTACTTAATGAAAGATAACATAAACTAAGACAGTGGTCAAATACCCGCGGTTCAAGAGCCACTAAGACAGTGGTCAAATACCCGGGGTTCAAGAGCCACTAAGACAGTGGTCAAATACCCGCGGTTCAAGAGCCACTAAGACAGTGGTCAAATACCCGCGGTTCAAGAGCCACTAAGACAGTGGTCAAATACCCGGGGTTCAAGAGCCACTAACACAGTGGTCAAATACCCGCGGTTCAAGAGCCACTAAGACAGTGGTCAAATACCCGCGGTTCAAGAGCCACTAAGACAGTGGTCAAATACCCGCGGTAATATATTTTCCAAGCACATGTAATTTATAAAAATGTCTCCTTATTCAAAACAGTTTTGCCGATACCTGAGTTAGGGCAACTGAATGCGCGCGCAATATATAAGGCGTGATGCAGGTGTGTTTCAATTGGGCACTAGCTTAGGACACGTGGTGAATGGGAACTTTTTCTATATCGTGAGGGGGCGAGATTTTAGGCCAATTGCACTGCATTTTTTTAATGTTTGTGTGTGTGTGGGGGAGGGGGGATATTTTGGCCCGCCTTGGGCTACACTAACCCTAGTTACGCCACTTATGTGAAGACGAGATTGTGTTTGTGTGGTCTGTGCTACAGGGGAGGCTATCCATGCTCAAAGAGTTTGACGTTACGGAGATTGTGGAGAAGTCCTCGCAGACGAGAGGCAACACCCACGTGTCATCCAAGAAGGTCGTGGAAGGTCAGAGGAAAAAATCCAAGTACACAAAATTCGCTCACGTCGGGATGCTGCAGAAAGGTCAATGTTCGGTGAGTGAAGGTAGGAGGTGACTGAAGGTAGGAGGTGACTGAAGGTAGGAGGTGACTGAAGGTAGGAGGTGACTGAAGGTAGGAGGTGAGTGGAGGTAGGAGGTGACTGGAGGTTAGGAGGTGACTGGAGGTAGGAGGTGACTGGAGGTAGGAGGTGACTGAAGGTAGGAGGTGAGTGAAGGTAGTAGGTGACTGGAGGTAGGTGGTGACTGAAGGTAGGAGGTGACTGAAGGTAGGAGGTAACTGAAGGTAGGAGGTGAGTGGAGGTAGGAGGTGACTGGAGGTTAGGAGGTGACTGGAGGTAGGAGGTGACTGAAGGTAGGAGGTGACTGAAGGTAGGAGGTGAGTGAAGGTAGTAGGTGACTGGAGGTAGGAGGTGACTGGAGGTAGGAGGTGCGGCATCCATGCACTGGCATCTGTGCAACGCTTGGAGGTATGATGTTGCTATTCTAACAGCTCCTAGCAGATGCCAGGAGGTGACTGAAGGTGAAGGTAGGAGGGGACAGAAGGTATATAGGAGGTGACTGAAAGTAAAGGTAGTAGATGACAGTGTTTCTGAAGGAAGGGGGTGACTGAAGGTAGGAGGTGACAGTATTTTTAGTATATGCTTAATGATTTAGTATATGATTTAGCCATCATTTTGTTAGTTTTTAGCCCCTGGGAATATCAGCTACCCATCTAAATTGTTGTATGCCTTGCTCACCTGTACATATTTTGACGCGCATTTTATATATTAGATTTGTAGCTTTTGTTCTTACAATGTATGGCGAACTCCATATTAATTTGAAAAAAAAAATTAAATTAAAGTCTCTTCCTTGCGTTATTTCTATTGGAAATAATATAAGGACTCTCTACTGTGAATAAACTGTTTAAAAAACCCATGGTCATTGGAAGTGAAATAAAATTCGAATAACTACATCTTCATTGTATGTAAAGTGGTTTTATCAGTGCATTGTAAGCTGTGACCCAGTGGCCCAGTAACCCCAACTGTAGACGCTGATTGCACTACATTAACCTAACGGCTTACTCAAGGTTACCAGTTAAATACTAGCGTCCAATTTCTGAGGCTGTAAATTACACCCAAACTACGCTCCTTTATATATTCACACACATACCTCTGACTAGTCGTCCCGTCTCTAACTTAGGGTGACCAAATCATGAACTGAAATATGCTCATTTGAACTTTTTTGTCACCTAGAGATCTTTTTAAAATTATCTTCACTTTTGTAATTTAATTAATACTCCGAGGCATATCATTAAGGAAAACAATATTTCTGCAGTGAATACTTATTTATTTATACATGTTTGACGACATTATACAAAACAACAAATTACATTTCTCTAGTCTAGGATTTAAATTGATAATATTTGGCAGTTGTTTAAGCCATTGTTAAAACCTCCTTCTTAATGTGAAGTTTTCAAAACTAGAACAGTCCATTTGGAAATTACAGAGAACCTGCAGGATTGCAGAAAGGGCCTTCACTCTCATCTTGTTTCGTTCGTCCGTCCATTGACTGTTCATGAGCGAAAAGGTTCTTTCAGTATTACCATTATGGGCAGGGATCGCCAACACATATTGGCGCACAGCTAGCCAAAATAATAATTGAAGTTATATTAAAAATTAGGAAGTTGTCGTGCTTTGAAAATGTGTTTGGTCTTAGAAACGGGACATTTAGGCTTCCCGAGAGACTTTTTCGGTTCACCGGGTACGATCACGAAAAAATGGGACATTGTCATTTTTTACGGGACGTTTGGTCACCCTACTCTAACTGCAAGACACTATTCTTAACGCCATTCTTAACACATCCCATAAGTTTATCACTTAGCGTGCAAGGCCATCCAACGACTCTTCTACTTTCAATGGTATCAAATAACCTACACCTTTACATACCACTAAGTTCTCACCAACTTCCCACCAATATCCAACCAATAGACCACCATAATATGTCCCACCTACATCCCACCAACTTTCAAACAACGTCTAACCAACACCCCACCAACACCTCACGTACGTCCCAACAACACCCCACCAACTTTCAAATAACGCCCCCCCTCCACATTCCACCTACAGCTCACGAAAATAACACCAATCCCCCACCAACGTACCACCAACGCCCCCACCAACATCCCACCAACGTAAAAAAACGTACCACCAACATCCCACCAATGCACCACCAACGTACCACCAACGTACCACCAACGCACCACTATTGCCCCATAAAGCTATCTTCGTCCGGTCCACTCCTGCTCCTTAAATAGAATTATTCCTGGTGACATCGTCGCTTATAGATAGATTTGGTAAAATGTCACGTGATGACACCCATCATTCCCTGAAGGTTGCTGTCACGTGATGACACCCATCATGCCCTGGATGTTGCCTGTCACGTGATCACACCCATCATGCCCTGAAGGTAGCCTGTCACGTGATAACACCCATCATTCCCCAGGAGCTGGCCGTGCTATCCATTGAACCTCCCAAAAACCTGACACGGATAACGCTGGTCAGTGAAGGGGTCAAGTTATTCAGAGTTGCTGTCCGCACGTTTCTGAGGATATCACCAAGAAAGAATGTTGAGGAGTACCTGAAGAAAGTGTACAAGTCCCCAACGTAAGTAGATGACAGTGTTAAAACTGGGGGGGTGGGGGTGTCGGAGGTGGGGTGGGGAGAATTGAGATAGAAAAAAGGGGCAGGGGTTTTAAGCATGTGACTGAAGCAACTGGTTCTTCCAAACATGATTGATGCACTTTAACACATGACGCAATCACAAACACACGACCCAATCACAAACACACGACTTAATCATAAACACACGACCTAATCACAAACACACGACCTACTCACAAACGCACGACCCAATCAAAAACGCAAGAACCAATCACAAACACATTAACCAATCACTTACACATGACCCAATCACAAACATAACATGTGACCCAATCACAAACAATTGACCCAATCACAAACGCACGACCCAATCACAAACACATGACCAAATCACAAACACAAGATCCAATTACAAACACATAACCCAATCACAAACACATGACCCTATCACAAACACAAGACCCAATCACAAACACACGACCCAATCACAAACACAAGACCCAATCACAAACACACGACCCAATCACAAACACAAGACCCAATCACAAACACAAGACCCAATCACAAACACACGACCCAATCACAAACGCACTACCCAATCACCAGTAAAGATCAACACCACTTGTTTACTCATTGACCTTCTCATAATGTCCCGAGGATAAAAAAGCCACCAAGTGTTCATGCGTTGCGTTGTCATAAATGATTAGAACCAATGATAAGCCTGTATCGTCCTTTGTGTTGTATTGGCAAAATTTGACAACTGCTGCAACAAATGATATAAATCCTTTTAACTCCAAATGTACACGTTGTTTATCTGTTGTTGTATGTTGTTATCTGTTGTTGTATGTTGTCTTTTTATAAAATGAAAGTTACATATCGTGATTTAATACACAAAATAGACAGTTAAAGAGCCGTCCTTGACCCTGTGGCTCCCACCAAATACACACAATAGACAGTTAAAGAGCCGTCCTTGACCCTGTGGCTCCCACCAAATACACACAATAGACAGTTAAAGAGCCGTCCTTGACCCTGTTGCTCCCACCATATCAAATTGATCTACTGTGTTCCCATTCATCGCCTGACTAAGGTTCCCACTGGACGAGGAACTGCGTTCCATGTACGTCAAAGACAGAAGCTGGGCGGAGTTCAAAAGGAACATCATCAACACACATCAGCTTGAGAGGAATGGTGACGTCATCGCCTCCATCCCGGCCACACTGAAAGGGTCAACAGGCTGGGCCAAGTGGCCGGGGTACGCCGTCATACCAAGGTTAAATAAGGTGAGGACCGGTGTACGCCGTTATACTAAGGTTAAATAAGGTGAGGACCAGTTTACACCGTCATACCAAGGTTAAATAAGGTGAGGACCAGTGTACGCCGTCATACCAAAGTTTAATAAGGTGAGGACCAGAGTACGCCGTCATACCAAAGTTTAATAAGGTGAGGACCAGTGTACGCCATCATACCAACGCTTAATAAGGTGAGGACCAGTGTACGCCGTCATACCAACGTTTAATAAGGTGAGGACCAGTGTACGCCGTCATACGAAATGACATTTAGTTAAGTGTCCAGCTTACAACGTCATATCATCTCCTAAAGATACCTACGACTATAATATTCCAAATAAAGTCTCAGAATTCTGACCCACTTCCACTTTAAAAGTGTCTGCTGTCAATTATAACAGGTTCAGGATGGGATAAAGGATCAGGATGGGATAAAGGATCAGGATGGGATAAAGGATCAGGATGGGATAAAGGATCAGGATGGGATAAAGGATCAGGATGGGATTAAGGATTAGTGTGGGATAAAGATCAGGATGGGATAAAGGACCAGGGTGGGATAAAGGATCAGGGTGGGATAAAGGACCAGGATGGGATAAAGGATCAGGATGGGATAAAGGATCAGGATGGGATAAAGGACCAGGATGAGATAAAGAATCAGGATGGGATAAAGGATCAGGATGGGATAAAGGATCAGGATGGGATAAAGGATCAGGATGGGATAAAGGATCAGGATGAGATAAAGAATCAGGATGGGATAAAGGATCAGGATGGGATAAAGGATCAGGATGGGATAAAGGATCAGGATGGTATATTTTAGATTTAGAATAAATCAATCTGTTTGAGACTTTGGACCTAGGGAATATTTAAAAAAACAAAAAAAAACAACAAAACAACAAGAAGGAGCAAAACAAACAATGTGATAAAAAATAGTATCGTCCCCCCCCCCCCACACTTTTTATTCCTACATGGTAAATGTTTGGGGTATTCTGAACTATAAATAAACATATGTGTTTGAGTAACTTCAATGAAAATGTTATCTTTTAGCGACCGTTGGACTTTCAACACATTTCCACTTTGCATTCTGTAGCCACAACCAAAAGTGGAGTCGAGCTCTGAAGTCGGCTATGACGAAAGCTACGAGGGCGACTCTGAATGTGAACCTGATGATAACGACGACGATAAGGCGGAGGTTGACGCTAAACCCCTGAAGGTTGTTGGAGCAGATTTTCTTGGGCCAGTGGAGCCGGACGTGAAGGAACTTTCGTTGACCAATGACCGGACACTCACAATGCCCCCGCCCCACACAGAAACGATGACAACGTGGAGGAAAAATCTGGCAAATTCAGACGGTCTTACAGTGTGCAATTATGTTTTTGGTTCATAGTTCAGGTCAACCATCCCCACTGTGGTAGACACGCCGCTGGAAGGAACATAAGTACACAAAGAATGTTTATAAAAAATAACTTATTTTAAAAAAATAATTCATTCTTAAGTAGGGAACAGTCATGGTTCCGTGTTATTATCATAGGATTATCATGTGTTGTTTTACATTGGCAGATGGCTTCTTTAATTGCATGGAAAGACTTAAATTTGGCACGAGCATTTCATTGTCTACATTTGAGATGTAACAAATAGTACATCAAAATTACAATTCACAAATTCGCCGTCTCAGATATGATGTGACTAATTCATAAATATGATGTCACTAATTCACAAATATGATGTTACTAATTCACAAGTATGATGTCACTAATTCACAAATATGATGTCACTAATTCACAAGTATGATGTCACAAATTCACAAATATGATGTCACTAAATCACAAATATGATGTCAATAATTCACAAATATGATGTTACTAATTCACAAATATGATGTTACTAATTCACAAGTATGATGTCACTAATTCACAAATATGATGTCACTAATTCACAAGTATGATGTCACAAATTCACAAATATGATGTCACTAAATCACAACTATGATGTCACTAATTCACAAATATGATGTCACTAAATCACAACTATGATGTCACTAATTCACAAATATGATGTCACTAATTCACAAATATGATGTCAATAATTCACAAATATGATGTTACTAATTCACAAGTATGATGTCACTAATTCACAAATATGATGTCACTAATTCACAAGTATGATGTCACAAATTCACAAATATGATGTTACTAATTCACAAGTATGATGTCACTAATTCACAAATATGATGTCACTAAATCACAAGTATGATATCACTAATTCACAAATATGATGTCACTAATTCACAAGTATGATGTAACTAATTCACAAATATGATGTCACTAATTCACAAGTATGATGTCACAAATTCACAAATATGATGTCACTAAATCACAACTATGATGTCACTAATTCACAAATATGATGTCACTAAATCACAACTATGATGTCACTAATTCACAAATATGATGTCCCTAATTCAAAACTATGATGTCACTAATTCACAAATAGGATGTCACTAAATCACAACTATGATGTCACTAATTCACAATTATGATGTCACTAAATCACAACTATGATGTCACTAATTCACAAATAGGATGTCACTAAATCACAACTATGATGTCACTAATTCACAAATATGATGTCTTTATGCATAAATTATGATGTCACTAATATAATGTTCCACTGGCAATGAGTAAATACTTGACCTAGATTTCTTTTAAATATTTTTATGAAGCAACAATGTCACTTTGTTGGTGCAATTCTTCTGTGTTACTGTCACCTTACAACTGTCTCAGTTGTGCCGCAACGTCCATGGACGACCATGAGTGTAAACCATGTCTGTTGATGTGCTGCATAATGGCAGTTTAGCCATGTCACATGAGCTTCTATAACATAACATGACATGAGTGTCTTTCACATGACATTAGCATCTATAACAGAACATGTCATGAGCGTCTATAGCATGACATGACATGAGCGTCTATAACATGACATTAGCGTCTATAACAGAACTGACATGAGCGTCTATAGCATGCCATGACATTAGCGTCTTTAACATGACATTACATTAGCGTCTATAACACAACATGACATGTGCATCTATAACATAACATCACGTGCATCTATAACATAACATGACATGTGCATCTATAACACAACATGACAGGAGCTTCTATAACATAACATGACATGAGCGTCTATAACATGACATGGCATGAGCTTCTATAACACAACATGACATGAGCATCTATAACACAACATGACAGGAGCTTCTATAACATAACATGACATGAGCGTCTATAACATGACATGGCATGACATGAGTGTCTATAACATAACATGACATGTGCATCTATAACATAACATGACATGTGCATCTATAATATAACATGACATGAGCGTCTATAACATACCATGACATGAGCGTCTATAACATGTCATTTTCCTTAACAACAATGAAATGCTAAGAGATGCGAAATATAATACTACTAGACGACTCACGACGTAGCATACGTCACATAATTGCTCATAGATGAGTGAAGACTTCGTGAAAGACTCAGTTGTCCGAATGGGGTGGGTTTGAGGATACCACGGTGATTGCGTGAAAAGATAGAACTGTGGAGAGAGCTACACACAAGTGTCCGTGAGTGAAGACCGGTTTTGGTAGATAGAGGCATATCTTTTTGAAACTTTGTCCCTGTGTCTTATTAATTGTCATTGCAAAGGATGATCTAAGAGGAATTTTTTTTTGCCGTGTAAAAGTAAAAAGTAAATTTGAATTGATGTCGAGACGGAAATCCGGGAAATAAGGACAGTTTTTGTGGTAGCAGCTGCAACAGTTGGACACTCTAGCACATTGCGGTGAATGTTGGTAACAGTCAGTCCAGTGCCATTACAGAGAACTCTTGCTTGCTTGAGGTTTCTGTGGAAGCATGACAACTGAACCAATTTTAATTTTGAGTTTATGCGGAGGCCTGCCAGTTGGAGTAAGACTGTTAAGAAATTCTTCGGGGAATGACAGTTGATCTGCGGGATCGTCTGTGACGATGGAGTCAACACTGGTGAAAGTTACATCGTCGGTAGAGATACGCTTCAAGACTTCTTCATTACGATGTAGGGAGTCTTCGTTGGTGACGCTTAATATTGCTCGCGTCCTGAGTTGTTCCGGAGTGACAGTTGAGAAGTCGATGTCGCCATATAGTTGTTGAACGGGATTAGAACAGGGAAACAATATGAAAGTAATTTAACAAATGTTCCATTTTTTGCCGTCTCCTACATCGAGGAGCCATTTGGCGAAATCTTGTTCGTAGGGAAGAGCTCTCATATTTGCTGTCAGTGTAAGGACATTGCATTTTATGCCACAAAGGATGTTTGTTAATGCAACTGGCGACAGTAAATGCTCGGGAGCCACGCATGATTTGTCGGAAATCTCCACCCAATATTATTGTTTGCCTCCAAATGGCTGCGTGTCACCCGTGAAGTCACGTAATAACCTGTCAACTGCCTGGAATGCGTATGCATGTGTGATTAGGGCTTCGTCCCATATTATCACTTTGGATTTGAGAAAATGTTGAGCGTGGAGTCCATAGGTTTGATGTTGCATGTGGAAGTGGTGGTCAGCTTCAAGGGGATTTTAAAAACGGAATGTGCAGTGCGTCCACCTGGTAAAAATGTTGCAGCTATTCCTGCGTGCCACGGTTGTAGGAATGTCTCCCTTACCTCTGATGGTATGAATTAGGGTTTTGTAGACGAACGTTTTGCCTGTTCCTGCAGGACCATCTAAGAAGAAGCATGTACGAAATAAAATGTTAAAATATTCCACAAAATTAATCCCGTGTGTGGACACAAATGTAAAGAAACAGAACAATAAAAACTATAGTCATAAATGAAAATATAACTATTTTTTCCATTTTTGGTAATGAGACATAAAATTGCCTGTATTTTAAATTACAAGGCTACGCACAGGTGCATGTATCACTTATTCGAATAATAACTACATCGTATCACACTAAACGTAGCTCAACATTCGTTCAACTTTCATTTTTATGTGGGTCAAATCTAAAATTAGCCGATACATGATCATTGTTTCCAAATGACAGAAATTGAATGTCAAATGTCAACCAATTAAGAATGCATGTGTCAGCGAAAATGTTTGGGTTAGCGGAACAAAGAGTTCCTTCAAGGCTTATGTCTGGACGTCTTAGTGGGCCATACTAATGCTAAATGCAGAGGCACTAGCCTTCGATCGATACAAATATGCCTAGGCAGCGTTGAAATTGTATTATAAAAGCCAAGGCAGCTCAAGGATCCATTCTGCATGATTTTTGACTACCCCCCCTCCCCCAGTCAAAATTTTCTTTTAACACACTACTTTAAAATACATTTTAACAACTTTAAATTACTTTTAAATTCAAAAGGTAAAACCCAAAAATATTTATTAGATGTTTATCTCTAAGGAAGATTCTTAGCCTAAACGTGGGTTTTTTAAATTTTAGTGTCCTGACTTTATATTTCAAGCTTCTAAATACCTCGTTCTACTTCTGCCTTGACACGTATTGAACTCACTTCTTCATTTGTCGTTCAATGTATATCTCTGCTGACACGTATTGAACCCACTTCTTCATTTGTCGTTCAATGTATATCTCTGTATATTTAAAGAATAGGACTTTTTTAAAAGAAAAAAAAATCATGTCTGTATCGTAATCAGGTTTGTAGATACTGTTATTCATATGTGCCCCCCTCCCCGCCTAATAAAAGAACCAATTTTCTTTGCCATTTATATGTAAAGAAACATAATATAAGAAAATGCTTACAATAAGACTTCATTTATGAGAATTAAAATTGTTTCAAATTCAATTTTTTTTTTAAAATGTTGATGAAATTAAACAATGCCAATCTAATTAAAGCAATATCTTAAGTGCCACAAGCAGATAAATACTTAAAATAATTATTTTATTATCCGCATTATTTTATTTCTTCTATATATTAATACTAATAGTCTTATATATTGAATAATATACTCACCTATAACTATAAGCATATTTATTTTTATCAGATTCAAATTAATTTGATTTCCCTAGAAAAAACAAAATCCACTTTCACCGATTTTAAGAATCCCATTTAATTTTTTTTTTAATATATATAAAGTTAATCTTACATGTACCCTGAACACACATTTGCAATTTGTCTGTAGCTCTATTTAAAACACCTAGGGCATCTACATTGTCATCTATATTTATGCTGGTAATAAATATTAATAAAGGAATACATTTTAACGTATCGAAGTTCTTATTTTAATTTTATTTAATTTTGAATTTTTAATAATTTTTAAATTTATTATTATTTTTTAAAATTTATTTATTTAAAATTTTAATTTTTTTTTGTACTCCTGCAGAAATTACAAGTGCATTCAGAGTTTTTTCCGTTCGCGAAATGATTGACCAATCCCAGTCGCTGCACTATTTCCTTTTAATGAGATATGGCAAGAATTTTAAAATCCTTTCTTTATAATATTAACTTCACTTTTGCTCCTGGCTAGCAAAATATTCGGATGCCTAATTGACCCAAGTCCCGTCAACCTATCGAGCTGAAACTTGGCAAATAGACTGGTTGCCCACGAAAACACATTATTTTCAAATTTTCATCTTCACTCTCCAACCCAACCTCCAATAGTCTGCCCCCCCCCGCATATTTATAACACAGACAAGCCTTTTTATAACACAGACAAGCGTATTTATAACCCAGACAATCGTATTTATAACACAGCCAATCATATGTATAACATATACAAGCATATTTATAACACAGACAAGAATATTTATAACACAAACAAGCGTATTTATAACACAGACAAGCATATTTATAACACATAC